GAACCAGAAGCCTTGTTGCCATACAATCCTTCTTTTGGCTTCTTAGCTGCAAACAGGCCCTGCTGCCAACTGTTTCTACCAGATAGAGCTTTCCCCAGTTTTCCTTTCAAGTGTAGATTGCATACTGGTCAAATCAGATGAAACATACACTTCTTTCCCCCTTTCTTGTGCCCTTTCTTTCAGCTCAACTCACTCCTGCTTGGCAAGAGGTCTGGGCCACAGATTATTGCACTTGGTAGAATGCAGTGCTGGAATTGTGAAAATTATCGTATGATTGACAGTCATGAAAATGAATCCCACAGCACTAAAGCAAAATCCCTCCACTTTCCTTGGCAGCTGAGTATTGATTTCAGCTATGCTTTGCTTAAAAGATACAGAATTTCTGAGGGATGTAGATGATTCCTGAAAGCAGTGTGTCTGCGCATATTCTCCTGAGTCACAGGTAGAGCTTTCTTGCAGAGCTGCAGGGAGGGAAAGCATTGCCACTCTCTTTGTGCAATGTCTGCTGGCAGTGTTGCATTTTTTAGGGGGAAATGTTACTGAGTATGAAGTATACAGAGAATAATCTCTTAACATGCCATAATAGTGATGCTTTCAGATTTGAAATATTAAGTGATCAGAGTTCACAGCTGTGAAGTTCCTTAATTAAAACCAAATCTGCTGTGTTTATAAAATGTCTAAATTTGCCGTTATGGTTAGAAGAACACACAAGAGAAGGCTTTGTTGAAATGTAAACACTTTGAATTATTACTGCAGTGTGCTGTCTGAATGCTCTCATTTAATGACACAGGGCTCAACATTCAAGTGAGTATAATTGTAGCAAAGGGCTATTAGACTCAGATTCAGTGTTTAGGCTCCTAACTTTCCACTGAAACTGTTTATTAAATCCAAATCCTTTGTTAAGTCTTGCCCTTTTTATTTTTCCTTTCAGTTTTTTTCTTATTTATTTCTGGGTTTTGGCATTTCTATGAGTTTTCTTCTTTTTTTAGGGTGGTTTCTTCTAGTGGTGAAAGCTTACTCTTTTGAATGTCATGGTGCAAGATTCATTTGCTGAGATTCAGGCACCTTTGTAAATGAGATCTTCATCACTGTATTTTCCTTTAACGACCTGAGAAGAAATGGCTCCATCAGAACACTGGGAAGGTTGTGAGAATTGGTGGAAAATGGTTTCTCAAAAAGGATAAATAAAAGTACCTTGTTTATTTAAGGCAGAATATGACTTTAAACTAGCTTTATCACTTGTTTGCAGCCACTGCAAAGCAGAAAGGAGCTGTTGTAGCAGGTTCTTGGGATAAGCAGGGTGGGGAGAGCCTGTTTGAGAGGTCATAGACAGATGCCACTGGACTCCTCCAAAAATTCTTACTGTTATTTGGGTGTGGATGCTCCAAATGATAGGGGTTAGTCTACCCTGGTATCCTTATCAATTGTAGGAGCTGAGGTGAGAGCCCTCTTCCAAAATGAGAGCTCCTGAGCAATGGCAAGACAGCAGGTATATAGCTTAGACAGAGGAGTGGTGCTGATTGAGCCCTGTGGTCACTAAAATCCTTGCAAACTGTCCCAGATCTCACATCTGACCATCTTTAAAATGAACTGTAGAAACTGGGTAGATTTCAGAAGGAGAGTAAGCTTGGCTTTCTATTCAGAATTTGCCTGATGAAATTTGTAATTTAATAATTTCTGGCAGATTTAGTGCTCGCGGGCATACCTGAGTGTTAAGGTTATGCCCGCAAATTTGATTTTAGTTGGGATTTTGAAGATTTTACTACAGCCATGGTAACAGGAAATATGAACCAGCCATCTGAAAGCCATGCTGATGGGAGCTTCTGTAGTTTAGTACAGGCTAGAGTACATCCTCAGCTTTGGAACTTAGGGAATTTGGTCAATAAATGATTTGTTCTTCTGAAGTTACCCACTGTACTCTTTTGCTGATTAGATCTAATGAAAACACAAAGTCATGCCACATCCAGAGTTTTCATCGGTTTTGGAAACTGCTGAGTAAAGCTCTCGCCTACAGAAATCATCCCCAAAGCTAAAATCTTGCCTGTAAACTGTGCAAATGAAATTAAAAGGAGAGCGTGATCTCTGCCCAGCAGGCTGCTGCGAGCAGCACAGTGAAGGAGAGGAGGGGAGGGATCCTGCTGGAGTGAGGCGCGTTTGGAGGCGGCCGAGGCTCGGGGAGGATGCTGCGGTAGCACCGAGCCGCGGCCCTTCGGGGCTCCAGTATCCAGCGCTGAACACCAGAGGGCACAAACTCTCTTACAGTCGCCTCTTCTCTCCCGGCTCCGTGACGGCCAACATTTAAACAAGTCCAAATAAAAGCAGGCTTAGAAAAGCAAACATGAAACTTGACTGGAAAACCAAAGGGAAAGTAAACGTGGGAGCAGCTTCAGAGCACGGATGAAAGCTTCACGCGTGGGATGCGCACAGCTGTGCTATGAGAACTGGTGTCAAGGGCACTTGTATGATACACACGTGTACAGGTTTATTTTTAAATGCAAGATGTGTTGTTAATAGTGTGTTGCTGCCACACATAGGTGAGAATTGCTTTACATATGAATGGAAACTTACATGGGTTAAGCAGATGATTCTGAACTGGTCACAACCAAAATTACTACATAAAATGCATTTATTTTTCTGTAGGTTGTGTTTAATAGAAAAATCATTTTAGAAACAAGATATAACAATTTGAAACCATTTACCTACCTAATTGCCTGGTTCTCTTTACGTGTCAGAACTGGGCACTTCTGTCATGGGCTGAGTTGCACAGCATCACTAGAAAATTCACTGGTACTTAGTACAAAGACTTTTCTAAGCCATACATAAAATTATTGTTATTGTTATGCTAGTCTCTCCTAGCTAAGAATACAAGCGGGAATTTTTAAGTAGATGCATGTGAGTGTTCAACAGATTTTTAAAGTGATTCAATAGCCAGACTATGGTTTGGAGCCAGTAGCTTGGGACCTTCCAGGCCTCAAAGCAAGTGTTATCTGTCCCTTTGTCAAGCTTCTGTTGTAGGAGTGTATAATACTCCTCTTTCAAGCAGTGTGATGCTGTCAGCTTCACAATGTTAGAATTAAATCTGAAAGAAATAGACTTAAGAGCTGACTACAATTTATCATGTGATACAATCTCAGTGTATTTTATTTAAATTTGAGTCTAAAATGGGTGAACAAAGCTGTAATCATCCTGTCAGTATATATAACTACTTTCAAAATTAGATACTGATCAGTCTAACTGAGGAAAATTTGGTTGTAATTTCAGTAATGTCATTAAACTTCTAATTATTAGCAAGTGAGGCTGGTCCAGTGGCCTCAAAGTACATCTATAATTTAGCAGACCCAAATTTAGACCCTAGGTGTACCATTAGCTTCCTGTTGGACACTAATCCAATAGATTGATGATGCTTTGGGTCCAAGGCCCTCAGGGAGAGGATCATCTCTCTCAGGAGCCTGGGCAGAGTTCAGGATATTCAAACATATCCTAAAAGTATAATTGAGGGTCCTCATCATCTGGTCTGGTGCTCTCAAAAAGAGGTGAAGCTCCTCTCAGCAAACTCATTTAGGCAGGAGAGAAATCCTTTACCCAAGTAAAAAACCAATTTTTTTGTGGCACTGAGTGTGTAAGAGTGTGTGCTAGTGTGGAAAACCTGAACTGTTCTGTCCACATGAGAACCCTTGTCTGGACATTTGGTGAGAGCAGTGTGTGGGGCTTCATCCTCCTGCATCAGTCAGTGCCTTCATTTACATCATCCATAATTGGTTTCTGGAGTCAATTTTTTTTCTTTTTATCTTTTTCCTGGCAAACACTTCCATTTAGGATGTTATAGGCCAGAGGCTGCATGTCAGGCTCTGGGGCTGATATGATTAGCTCAGTGTATCGTGGCAGGCTGCTGACAAATCATGGCAGACTGAAAAATCAAAATGGAGTTTCCTGGAGCTGCCCAGCTCTTAAACCAAAATGACAGAAGGTGTGTTTTCCTCTGTGGCAGGTGGTGGCCATAGCAGGAGAGCTTCTGTCTCTTGTTCTTGGTCTTTTTTGCCCAGGGCAGCCTAAATCAGCAACTGTGGAAGAATATTCCACATTGGGAAAGCTTCTGCTCTCCCTACAGGATATAATGGCATAGTAGTGGTAGCAACAGGGCTTCAGGCCAGATCTGTGCTGGGCAGGGATCTTGCCTGGCAGTGCTAGACCAGACAGAAGACCTTTCACTCAGCAGGAACACAATGTTATCCCTGGGGAAGAGATCCCTAACAGAAGTGTCCTTTCAAGCTGGCTCTGGACCAAAACTGTCAGTCCCAGGTGGCAGGTGCACACTGTGAGTGACAGGGACAGTCAGAAATGCCATCAGGGCTCTCTTGGTGTTAGCACCGTTTTGTGCTGGTTAATACATTTCCCTTGGGCAGTCGGAGTGCCATCATGCTCATCTGAGCTGAGGCTTCCTCTAGTCCCTTGGTGCTCCCAGTCCAATCTTTTGCATTTTTTGTAACAACATAATTTGTAAATCTGGTGATTAGCCACATCTTCCAGCTCTTTCTGAGGCCTCAGAACAGGATGATTTGGACAATGCAAGCAGAGATCAGAGAATGTTGATACAGCTGCAATGAGTTATTTGCACTATGCCTGCCTCCAGCCTATGCAAATAGCAGAAGTGATTCCCTGCTTCATATGACCTGACTTCAGGTGGGCATTCACCTGTGCATTCATTCATTTATGGAACATAAACACACTCTGCAGCAGAAAGGAGACTCTGAAGGCACACAGAAGTACCCGTTCTGTTCCTGAGACTGAAAAGACACCCAGAAGAGCAGAGCATTTGAGCAAGCTGAAGAAATGGCTTCTTTTATAAATCTGCTCCATTACCCTCTATTACTGAAGGTTCTCTTTGAGATCTTAATTAATCCAAGTAGAGATGTGTGTCTGTGATATGAGTTAGGATTAGAAATCAGCTCTAAAAACAAAGCAGCCTATGCAAAATTGATGAATGCTGCCCTATAAAACAATTCAGTGAATGAGTTTGCATTTGTAATATAGCATTCCTTGAAATAATTGGCCAACAATTACTGGCCTCCTTGTCAGAGGCAGTAGGATACAATTGGTTTTCTGGGCTGTAAGCACAGATGGCCAGGTAGTATTGAGATTTTTTTCCACAGACACCAGGTCTAGTCTTTATCCTTCTTCCATCCTGTGGCTGTGCTTGGGAACAGCCCAATCCAGATCCAATCCGGGGACCTTGCACTTGGCTTCCTTGAATTCATGAGGTTTGCACAGCTGCACCTCTCAAACCTGTCAAGTTGCCTCTGGATTGCTGGCTTTTCTCCAGTCTGTTGACCACATCACACTGCTTACTGTGATATGACAACTTTCTGAGGCTGTGCTCAATCCCACTGTCTATGTTGCCAACAAAGATGTTTAACAATGCCGGTTCCTGTGCCAACCCCTGAGGAATGACACTCCACGGGTCTCCACCTAGGCATTGAGCTGCTGACCACAACTCCCTGAGTGCAACCATCCAGCCAGTTTCTTATCCACTGGGTGGTCCATACATCAAATCCACACCTCTCCAGTTTGGGGACAAGGATATTTTGCAGGACAGTGTCAAATGCTTTGCACAAGTCCAGGTAGTTGACGTCTGTTGCCTTTCCCTTGTCCACCATTGCTGTAACCCCATCCTAGATGGCCACCAATATTGTTAGGCATGGCTTGCCGCTAGTGAAGCCATGGTAGTTGTCACCAATCACCTCATTATTTTTCACGTGCCTAAGCACATGGCATTTCCAGGAGAAACTGCACCATGATCTTCTCAGGCACTGAACTGTGGTTAGGACAGGGATAGAAAGTGTGTAAATTTTATCTTTAGGCTTTCGGTGCTGCTCCTTCTAAGCACTTCAAAAATTGGATATCTGCCATTTCATTGGTTTAAGAAATCACACAAGAGATTTATTTTGTATGGTGTTCTGAAAACCAAGCTGTCTCTAGCTCTGTGACTTTCTTCCTTGTTGGTTGGTAGCCACCCTCATCCACCTAAAGCAGTGACTACAAAACACTTGAGGCAGACACTTGATCTCTTACACATTCTTCATGGATGCATGTTAATAGGAACAGCGGTGGTGGTGGTCTAACCAAGAGTAGGGTCATCTGCTAATAAACATGTAATGAAAGGAAGGATTAGAGGTAGTGGTATTTCAAAATTAGATATTGCTATTATTTTAGATATAGATAATTACAGATATTATTTTTTTCTACAATGTGATCTGGGAGAAAATCAACTAGATCCCTTAATGTCTGTAGTCATTCTAAATGAAAACATAATTTCTCTGTAAGATATGTAACACTTTTATTTTAACACACCTTAGCATTTTAAATGCAGCTGCATTCACTAGGATGCTTTTAGGCTTTCCTGGAGATCAAAGTTTGTTTCCCTGGGAAAGCAGTGAGTATTCTGGTAGGGGGAATTTAAAAACATTTTGTTATCTGATTTTTGGCTTCTTGCCAAAGAATAGTGCCAGTAGGGCACTCACTGCTGTTCATATGATTTTCATTGACTTCAACGGGTATTGAATCAGGCCTTATAAGCACAATTTCCTCATTGTTAGCAGCTGTTCATTGCTTAGCATTACTTGAGCCACTATTCAGCTGGCCATCTGCGATCTGGGACTTCTCAGACTGCAAGAAAATCATTATCTGTTCCATTTTGGCAGGAGAATATTGTAACTTCTCTTAGGGATGTATTTGTACAAGGAGTAATAATGTTTTTCCCCAATAGCTATTGCTTGTTGCTTTCCCATCTGTGGTTCTAACACACAAATGTTAAATAATAAATACAGTAACAGACCCAGGGCTTTATACATTCAAATTAATGTTTATTTCACCAGGAAGCTGAGATATTAAGTTTTTTAGCAGGAAAGTGTCCATTTTATCAGTACACATACTTGTTTGTCAACCTCTGATACTGATCAGTCTACAGAGAACCTAGTAAAAGCTTAAAAAATGATGTAAAAAGGTCTCCCTGTCCTGGAAACCTTGGTGAGTTATGACATCAAACCATGACTGAGAGTTTGGGATGAAGCTGGATTTAAGGGGTATAAAAGAAGACGTGAATTGACATTACATTAAGTGCTTGTATGGCTGCTGAGAACAGCCATTTAGAGTTAGAGGCATTGTCCTATAGTAATTCTCCAGAAAGAAGTAGCTGTGGGAGTGGAGGGCTGTACTGATAAATCAGCACTTCAGTTAAATGGCTGAATGTTATCCTGGATGGTTAGATTCCTTCCAAGATATACCTGTTCCTACAGCCTTGCCAGAACCATTTACAAATTCCTGATAACAAATATTCACCTTAAAACTGAGCCACATCTTCTAAGAAAGTTTAAAGGAATGTAGTACAGATCAGAAAGAAGGAAAAGAAACATTGTTTATGTAAGTATGCCTATTTCAAGGAAAGGATTTATTAGCCCAAGATCTGAAGTGTTATGTATGGAGAGCTTGCTAGGAGGGAAATTATCTTTCTGTTTAAGAAATATTTTACCTATTTATGATAATTCCTGGGCTAAAAGCCACTCCTGGTTGCTCATGAGATAAAGAAGAAGAATAAGCAATTGCTAATTAGGCTTCTGGACAGTAGCCCTCTGTCCCTGATGCACTTTCAGCCATGCTCTTGATAGATACTGGAGATATATAATGCACATCTCTGGCAGTAAACAGGAAAAATCTGTGCTTTCTCTGGTTTCACTTTCAAATGTTCATCTAAAACAAGGGAAATCAATTTCACTGTTGCTGATGAAGCTTAACTGCTCATTTACATGAACAAGAATGACAGAAATGAAGCAGGGGAAGGCAACTGGATTTCCCTTACTTTCCTAAAACAGGATTTCCCTGTGCCCAAATTTTCCATTTCTACTTCTGACATAGAGCATTATTGCCTGGTGACAATAAAAAAAAAATAAAAAAAAATACAGTATTTCATCAGTTTCCCAGACTATGGGAACTTACCAAGTTTCTTGCAGATTTCAGAAAGAGTTTTCTGGATGCCAAAATAAATGTCTGACTTCACTATGCCCTGGGAGGAGAACCTGCTGAGTTCTCCCACAGGGGTTGGGAGGGTCTCGCACTGCATTAGGATCTATGTTGACTCTCCAAATCCATCAGCAAAATTCTGGAGAGAGATAATATGCAGGATTGTACCTTGCTTTGGGAACTGCCAAGAGAAATACAAAGATTCCATCATCTAAACAGGACATGAGACATAAATTCTCTATTTAAGCTGGTTTTACAGTTCAAGGACTATTCTTCCCCATTGGGTGACAGGGAAGGTAATGAGGAAATATTCATGCATCCTCCAAAGGTTATTTTAAACCCCAAAGGGTTTAAAATAATGAAATAAGTTTTCCTCATAGTCAGGCTTTGTTTGCCAAATTGGGAAGTCTACATAGTAAGTAAACCATATGAAAATGTAATAAGTCTTCTACATATTTAGCAGATGTTCATGGATTTATCCACTGTAGGAAGTTATATATCAAACAGTACAATTTTGGTGCCTGTTTTGTGTATTCTGTGAATCCCAGACACGTTTAATATTTCTCCCTCTGAGGTTTAACAGTGCATAAATAATATTTAATAAATAACCTTTAACTTTAAACAGACTTATTTAGACAGATGATGTCTGCTCAGATCTTATATTTTAAGAACACTCATAAATGCTGGACAGGAGTGATTGAATCTTGCAATATGTCTTTAATTTACATGTGCTCAGTCTCTCTGCCAGCAGCATCACTTTCAATGTTTCAGTGAAAGATGCATTACTTTTGAACTATTGTTTCAAAGGTGGGCAATTCTGTGATCCTGGTCTACAGAGAACTTAAACTTGGCACATTAAATTCCTGTCCAAGAACTATTATTTTTTACATGAAATGAATTCAGAGAAACAGTTTACTCTTAATGTTGTTAGGGTGGAAGAACAATGTCTCAGTGCTTTTATTCCTCTGATTCTCAGGCCTACAAGCATGGTGTTTTAGAATGGAAACTTGTGACATATGGATCTTAGGCTACTTTTCAACTAGAAAAATTAAAAAAAAAAATAAATCCCCAAACAAAACAATATATATATATCCCTTTACTTCCCCAATGACTGAGTTATTTTTGGATTTGAAGCTTCAAGGCATGCAGCAACTCTTATTTTCCAAATTTCAGGATAAAATTTTAATGATGGCAAATGGTGATCTGAGAACAAAACGAGGAAGATTTAAGAGCTCAGAGGAAAAATATACATGATACAGGAAAATACAGAAGACAGATTAGTGGGTATTTAAAAAAAAACCCAAAAAACTCCAAGCAATCAACCAAGGAAGTGAAGACTGCAAATTGCTGATGGCCTTGTATTCTCTGAGGGCCGTCCCTTAGAATGAGACCTAGCTGAGGAGGCTCATAGGATTGAGAAGCTTACCTGTGGTAAGGCATGAGGAATAAAAAACCAGCCTTTCTTCTCCCTCAAACTCAATTCAGTTTGAGATCCCACCGCCTCAGTTTTTTTCCTACTCTTTCATACTTTTTTTAATGTTTCCTAGAATGAAACTCTCACCATTGACTTTGAGAGATTTTTAGATGCTCAGCAGTTGTTAACATTTGACTTTGTGTGGCACTGCTCAGTGTAAGGTGCCTGCTCAAAGTGGGGATGAAGGTAGAGCTGATCAATAATCAAAACTTGAGCTATTGATGATACTAACGCCAGCCTCTGGGAGTGTTGGATTGTGATTTCTTGACTGCAGTCATGTCTGCTGGTTTTGCTGTTGCTCCCTGCAGAATACAGATTGTCTTCTTCAGCATCACTGTAATGTGCATGAAAGGACAATTAGGAGTATCTGTTGCTTATCACTTGTTTCTCCAGGAGTGCAGGGTTTTTTCTGTGATCATATGGAAACAGGTTCGTTAGCATTTTGATTAGATTACCTACAGTAAGACTGTAGTTCAAAGAAACAGCCACATAGCTGATACACAGTAGCTCCCAAAAGCACAGGTTTATGATAATTTTCATAATGCAGAACACTGTGTATCTCTTATTGCTAATGAGGTCATTAATGAAAGTCTAAGCTCGAGTGCCCAGCGGGTATCAAGGCAGTCACGCTTTATGTATTCTGCTTGTTAATGGTAAAGGTAAAATATCTATTACATGTTTAAAACTGCAGTTTAGCTGCTCGGGAAGATGAGAGCTGTTCTCAGTTTCATTTGATATTATCCACTGCCTGCTTTGCGCAGAGATGAATAGGAGATTAGGTAGGGTGTGGAGATTTTTCTCTAAACTGTCTCTAAACTGCCTATTCCTTGAGAAGACAACTGTTGGTAACAATTCTTGCTGTATCTCAGCTGGTGAAATGTCCAGTGCCTGGACATAGCAGGAAGGTGTTAGGAAATGCTGTACTTTTGTCTCTTGGTTGAAAACCCCAGAGGAGCTTTCTCAGATTAGTTCTCTAGAGATGCATAAAGAAAGCAGTGCTCTAAAACAGTTTTCTCTTGGATTTGAGAGCACTTTATCGTCAGGTGCAAACATCAACACCACTACAGATGAAATGGGTTAATAGGCTTTCACACAGGGTGAATTGCTAGACACCCCACAATTTGTTTTTCTGCTGGCCTTGTTCAAGGTGAGGTTACAGTACCTGAGGGAGAGAACATTTTCAATTTAGAAGTTCAGCAAATAGACTGGGTGCATTAATTACGACATTCCTACAACCAGGATTTCCTGGGTTAGTTTTCAAATAAAAAAAAATGGCACAGTGGGAATTCTAAATGCTTTGTATAAATATGAAACATTCAATCTTCAATCTATTTGTTATTTTTAACTTCTTCATTTTAATTTTTAGTTGGTTAAAAAATTCTGTGTCATAGCAAAACATTGACATGTGTAATAATGTGAAAATGAAGGGTATCAGTATTTCTGAAATTCTTACAATTAGAAAATATTAATGTAAAACCTTACATTGTTTAAAAAAAAATTCCTAGTCTTCGTGACCAACATTTTCACTAGATGTGACTTGACATGGGAATAGTTCTGCATTTTCCCCCTGCTCCTCACTGCCCCCTTTCCCCTGAAGTTGTAGGTTTTAGCTAATTTTAGCTGTTTATGAGAAGGAGGGGGAAAAAAAAAAAAAGTCTGGTTGTACTCTACTTTTATAAACTTTGACTTCACTGCTGAATTAAGGTAAGATCTATGCATTTCCCAATGGTATCCTCTACTCCTCAGATTTTTAGAGGTCAAGGAACAATCTTTAGGCAGGGGAAAGCAAAATTGGTTAAGAGGAGTAAACACACACTAGAGTTTTCTGCTTATTGTGAAAGGGCTGAAATATTTCACCCCAGTGGAATATTGGCTGGGGTCAGGTGTCTTGCTGAGTCACCACAGCTGGAAGAGTCATTGCACCTGAATGGAGCTGCAGAAAGCAGTCAACTGCTCTGGTAGCTCGAGGCAAGCCTGAGGTGAGACAAATTTGTCTAAGTATCTTTTGATGATGATCTATACTAATGGTTTTACCTCCTGTATGTGACAAGCTGACATCACTGTGTCCTAATAATCAGAGAGAAGAATCTTCTCATTGGTGAAACACACCGAGGGCTTAGGTATGGCGTGAATCAAGGCACCACGACAACACACACATCGCCACGACACATCAGCAGCTTTTGGAATGAGCACCAAAGGGTGTGTTTTTTCAAGTGTGCTTTTTCATTCAATATGTCAGCTAGTTCTAAGTATAAATCAGGCCCCACTGCAGCAGCTCTGAGCAGTGCAGATCAAGAAAAGGGAGCTAAAAGAACTATTGTTTTGTGGCACCAAGGATTCAAGGAGCATTTTCAGGCAGCAATAACCTTTCTTCTGTGTGTTCATAACCTGTCTTGCTGAGTACAGGTCCTAGCTTGAGCCCTAGCAGCTGTAGAAGGCAAATGGTTGTGCATGAGGCATCTTGATCAGCTCCCAGCTGGCTGCTGCTGTTCTCCCATCCCCCTCCAAATTACCAGGGTTACCGCCTGGCTCAGATTTGCTCAGGGTTACGTCTGCAAGCGTCACCTCTGCAACTGTAATACAGATAAGAATTTACCAACAATCTTGAGAGACATTCCCTGGCCTGAAGTGCTCAGAGGCATGTGACAGCAGGATTCAGGGCTGTGCTACCAGTGAGACAAACAAACACAGTCACGTCTAAGCGGTTGTGTTGCTTTGTCAGACCTGGCAAACCGATGATATCGCCTGTCCTTCTGGGCTCTACAGAGAGCTCTGTCTGGGAACGGTTTTATGCAGAGGTTTTCTAAATGCTTCTCTTTTCTGAGGTTGTCCTTTGCAGATGTGAGGGAAGAAGGAAGTTGGTGTCCCAAAAGGCAGTCTTGGGAAGCTGCTAGGTCAAACAGAAAAAACAAAACTAGGCTTAACTTCAGGTCTCTGTATTTTCCCTTGCAAATGTGTTTGTTTTGTAACTGGTGCATCCTTACATGAAGACCTGTCTGATGGCTGCTATTTAAGTTTACTTCTGGCTCTAGCTGCCACCAGGCTCTGCAGAGGGGCTTAAGCTTGAGAGGAGCTCTGCTTTTGCTGTAATTGCTTTTTTTTTCCCCAAAGAGTTTCTGCTAGTTTACATACCATTTTCTCCCAGTCTGATTCTACTGGGCAAGGGGCAGGGACTGAAGAAGATCAAAATATATCCCCTCCATCATACCAAACAGGAGATTATGAAAGACATGGACTGTCTGGCATGCTCCTCCTTTGCTGAAGTGGGTGATCAGGTGACCTGTGTGTAGCAGGAGAATGGAGACTAAGGGCAAAAAATCACATATCCATACTGATGATAATTCATGCTCAAATACTTTGTCATCTGAATGCAGGTACAAAAGAAGCTAGCTAAGAAAAACCTGAGAAAGGGAGTAGGTTTGCAATGCTAGCTGCCTACTGCTGGGGCTCTGGCACCTCTGTGGCTAAGGAAACCCACGGGAGTGCTTGGATCCAAATGTGGTGCATTCTGGGGATTCCTTTTACAGCAAGCTGTGAACCCTTTATCCATTTTGTGCAGGATTGTTTTTGTTCTCCCGGCTGGTGATTCTATTCCTAAAGTAATTCAAATAAATGAACACAATATGTTTGGTGAGTATATTACTGTAACTAAGATTCCCAGTTGGGTTTCTCATTTAAGCAGCAGGATGGTTGAGAGAATTAAATTAAGACTTGGGTATTCCTCTGTCCTAACCTTGCTCTGCAGAGTGATTCATGCCACAAGCAGGGCCTGAGGTTCACAGAGACTCAGGGGCCTAAAGATAGGCACTTGGAGATGTATTTAGGCACCCTCATGAACACTGTTTACTTTGCAGAGATGCAGCACTCTGAGAAGGGAGGGTGTTTACAGGTATTTGGCCCCTCTGGAAAAGGAGCCAAGTTTTAGGCACTGAAGCAGAGAAGAAAAACTTTACACTTTGGGTGGGTACAGTTCACTCATGTGAAAGTAGTAATAAATACTTTGCTATATCACAGGAGAAGGCTGTGAGGCTGAGCTGCTGAAGTTGGCATTGTACACCATTTTGGAAATAACAAAGCTTTTTTGTCCATAGGTGCTTGATTTCAGGGGTCATAGGAAAGAGGGCATACCTTTGTGATGGGGAAATAATAGATAAAGGAATGGAAGCAGAAAAAAATATATAATTTTGACTTTCCTGACTTAACTGTGTGTTTAAATCTCAGACATAAATCTCCATAAATTAATTAAAATAATAAATTAATAACGCTTTTTCCTTTTTCTTTTCTTATGCAATATGGGAAGTAACAAATAGGCAAATGCAATCTATAAGGGAGGAAAATCCACCAATAGGGTTTGCTAAACTGAGCAATTGAATGATATTCCTCTGGAGTGGTTTTACAGTGACACTTGAACCCCCCCTGGTTATGCAGTCTCTAGGTAACTGGAGGCAGGTCTGTTTTCCATAATATACTGACTAGCCTGGAACTGAAAAGACACACATAAAATTCCCCAAACCTTGCTGTATCCATTTCTGGCAAAAGTAATGGAGCCTGTTTAAAACCTTGTGTTTTTTATCCATGTCAAGTGACTTTTAAAGAGTTTGGTACATAAAGAAAGTGGAAATTTGGTTGGCAAGTTGTTCCAAATCACAGTTATGTCTCAATACAAGGCATTTGTAAAAGAAAATGTACGCTTTGCTAGAAGTGCAGAATTCAGAACAAGATGTGGTTTTGTTATTTTGTTTGGCTTTGGGACAGAGCTTTGGGGGAAGTAGGCAACAAGGTATTGATGAAATAAAGCCTTACATGGAGAGAAGAGAAATAAGCCTTGTTATCAGAGGACAGAAAGGTGGTGGGAGGCCAATGAGAGCGTGTACAGCTAGGGAAATGTGATGTGGAAATCACAGGAGAGAACAAAGGAGTTGTTGGAGAGTGCAAGAAATGTTTAACATGAAGCACAGTTTGGTGAAGCTGCAGCAAATGGCTGGAGGGGAGTCAGAGATGACAGCAAGGCACAGAGGAAGCCCAGCTAGAAACAAACTGAAAACTTTTCCTCAAAATAGTGCCAGATGCTTCTGGCAGTCTTGCTGGTTGGTGAATGTTGGAGTTCATGACACTGTTTGCGGTGTCTGTATTCTTCTTTGGATACAGCTTGGAGGAGGAAAATGCTGCCAGTCTGAACGACTGTTTATCCTAGACTGGTTGCAGGAGACTGAAAAAGGGGGAGTTTCTACTACCTTTTGCCACAACAGCCAGGATGGGAGAGTTACAGAGAGAGACTCCCCTGAGAAAATTGAATTTTGGACTCTGTTAGAGATACAAAAGGCACAGACTGTGTATGTGCAGTAGTTAAAACTGAAAGGGAAATGGAAGCATGTTTTTACTTCTAATTCAGTCATTTCTCACTGTAGGCAGGTTGACTAAATGTTGGATAGCTGCATTTCCAACAAGGAGGGAGCTGACACCGTATCTGTCGTACCATCTGTTTACCAGTTACCAGTGTACTGGGGAGAAGCTTCAGCAAGGAGTGGGAAATCTTCCAGAGTTCGCAGTTGTGTTTAACTGCTTGAATGCCAGCGATATGAAGTCAATGTATTGGCAAGCCTCCTGTGTTCTGAGCTAAAACTACTCTGTGTAGCCTCTCCTTTCCAGCTAGAGAAAATCTGCCAGCTGGGTGCTCCTCCTTGCATATTGCCATTGGTGGCAAAAGAAAACTGGCCCCTCCTAGCCAGGCTGCAGCCAGAGAAACACTTTCCATACCTGTCTTTTAATTGTTCTTTGCACAGGGAGGAGGAAAAAACCCGCCTCAATCCTCCTAACAGTGGTGCCAGAATAAAAGCTGGAGAGGAATGTTATTTTGCTATAGCTGGTGGTCTGCAGGGTGCCTTGCTGTTGCAGTGGTGCTGGCATGCCAGTTTATTATTGAGCTGCTCGTGTGAAATTACCAAACACACCATAACCAAAAGCTCAAAAGAAACTAACAGCAGTAATTCATCCTGTTGCCCCTGGTTTGCAGTTACACTTTCAGACTGAGAAAAGTAAAAAAGCTCATAAAAGCATATTTGGGAAGTTCTGCTTTGGTTTTGTCTCAGCTTTTTCTACTCCAAAATTGACAAAACCTGGCATCTGCAAGCTGCTCTGATTGAAAGCTGCAGGTCTTCTCTAGCCCTTAAGAGCAGAGGTTTCGGTTTCAAAGTTCGGTGCAGAACTAGACACAGAGCATTAATTTCCTAAGCAAAAATTGTGATGCTGTAGGAGGAATAGCAGAATTGGCTTCAAGCTGATAACAGTTTCAAGCCCAGGAAGATGGTACTCGCTACCTTTGCTTTCTGAACACTTGATTTCCTTATTAAATCAGTGCAGCTCAACTACTTTTTGCCTCTGAGAGTCAAAACTTGGGAAAACTCACAGTTAAACTTGAGTGAAACTGTTCTGATCTCACACGGATCAACTTCCATTGTGGTCAGTTTTGCGTTCTTTGTATTGCATCTTTGTCAGGCTTGAGGCTATCTGCTTTTCCCTTCCCTCCAGCCTAAGTTTCCTTAATGTTCATTTATCTTAATCTAGACCCATGCATGAACCCTCCAGATCAACTCTGTTCATAAAGTCCAGATTATTTCAGACACTTTCAGTTCTTCCTCTTTTCCATAATGAGACCCACAGTGAAGAGGACTCATCTGTCCTGCAGAACCTCTGGGTCAGAAATGAGCTTGTTCACCTTGAAAGCTGCATAGTGGTGGTTAGTGAGCCACTGAGCCCCAGTTGATTCTCCCCATATGCCTGAGAGGCATGGCATACAGTTTTTTGCTTGACATTAGAATAACAGAACCAATCATCTTCTAGCAAACTCAGGAGCAGGCAGAGTGTAGTGATGTCTGCCTGCAAAATAAATTGAGCTTCAAGTGATGGCTACATGACAATTAATTTTAATACCTGAAATTATGTGCTAGGACCAGATCTTTTAAGAAAAAAGGTACATGTGCATAGCAGTTCCTGAGGCTCTGCTGTTCTAAGGAGATAACCTAAGCAGGCTTTTATGATCTGTCATCTTTGTTTCTTTTCCTTGAGCAATTCTAACTTCTCTGCCACCTGAGAGAGACCATTTAAAAATCACTAGAGCCCTTTGATCTCAGATGTTCACTGCTGTCTTCTGCACTGTCTTAACAACATGCAAAAGCTTGCAGAGGTTTGGTTTTTTTTTTTTTTCATGCCAATCTGTTTCCTTCTTGCTTGTCTCTCTTGAAAGTGCTAGTAAGCTAGTATCTATCAAGTGAACATCCCCCGGACACGGTTTTTATGCTTGTTTATCATCACAAACCCCACTCATCTTTCAGGTAAGCACTAAGAAAAGTACTGCATTCACACAGGAAAGCTCCTCTTCCCTCTTGATGACTCTGCTAGGAGAGGCTAGCTATTCCTGCTCCCAAGGCCCATGATTTGCATGGCCATACTGTGTATTTCACTATGGTGTTTATATAGTCAGCCCCTCTGCATCAGTCAGCAAAATGGCCTGCTTTTCTCTTTTTATTTTCTCTTTCCAAAATATAAATAAAGCAACCTTTATTGATAGCAGGTTTGCTTTGCAATATCTGCCACTTCTGCAAGGCATGTGGGCTCTTGAATGCATCTTCCATCAGCTTAATCTGTCTTTTTCCATCAAGGAGCCACCTGAGTATTTGGTGAAGGCCTTTCCTCCTGCCAGCCTGGAAAGACTGCAAAATTTGCTTGCAGGCTCTTGGCTTTCGTTTCTGGCCTACCTTGCAATAATCCAGGATTTTGTGTCTGTGAAGATGTGTGTAATTGCTCCAGCACCTGGAATTGCCACATCAAACCCCTCACCGCCCAGCCTGGAGGCATGTTGAGAACTCAGCCAAAAGAAAAGCAGGTTGGAGATGTGAAAAAACCCTCTTGTTTCTGTATGGTTAGAAACATATGTTTTGCTGCCTGGTATATATTACGGAGAAAGGTGGTTTATGGTTCTCTTCTTTGACATACTTTTTATGTAAACTTACATTTGATTATACAAAAGAACTGGAGCAAATTTCCCAACAGCTGTCCGCCTGTCCCAAGTCTTCAACTGACCGGAGAGGAAAGGAGCCTCTTTGCCCACATGTCACTGCCATGGTAAATAGGTTAAGGTTTACGTACTTGTGTCACTTGGTGTTTTGCACGCCAATGAAGCTGCAAAAATTATCTTTATGGCCTGATCTACATAGCTGGTTGCTTCTGCTCTGACCTTCCTTACACATGGGCACCTAACCGAACAAAATGGTTACGGAGACTTGGCCGCACACTCACAGCGCTCCCCTCAGGGGCTTGCTTTGGTCATCCCCCACTCCCCGGCGGCAGCCCTGTGTGAGAGCGCTCCTCACAGCTGCCCTGTGTGAGAGTGCTCCTCTCCTGCGGGCTGCGGTGCACACGGCGGAGCTGTGCCCTGCTGAGGCCCTCCCGCACCGCGTCGGCTGTCCCGGCACGGCTCTGCTGGGCGAGGCCTGCGGGGCCGGGNGCGGAGATTAACGTCAGCGCGCACCTTTTGTTTGTGTTGAGGCTCCTCTGCTCCCGCCGCCTGCCCGCCCCGAGCTGCCGGCCTCTGGCCGCTCGCAGGGCGGGCATCGATCGGCAGAGCCGCGTTCGCGTCCTTGCCCTGTCTCAGGTTGCCGCTAAAGTGGGCAGGTTCCCAGAGATGCGGCTCAAGTGCCACCAGCTACCTCTGATTGAATCTGGAGTGCCGGCTTAGACGGAAGCCGAAACCTTCTTCGTCGCCCAGCTATGCATCCGCAATTGCGTTCGGCCTCTGAAGGGAGCAGAAAACCCTCGTGCGTGGAAAAGGGGTTCTGGGGGGCTAGTCCCGTGTTCAAAAGAGCGTGGGCGTAGGGCGGCAGAGGTATTACATTCAGCTAAGCGAAAAGCTTCGAGCTGTAGCACCTTGTAATGTGAAAATGCCAGTCAGCAACTTGCAGCGCCCTAAGAGGAGACCTGCCGTGACCCATCATGTTTCCTTTGGGTCGGGGCCGCGTGTGTAGCAAGGTTTTTTGCCACCGCCCGAATCCCTCTAGTTTGCTGAGGTTGCTTCTTGGTGTGGAGAAGACAATTTTTAATGGAGCAGGATAGGGAGGCAAGAGCTTTTGGTTTTCTTTTTTTTTTTAGCTGTCACACCAAGGTGCTTTGGCTGTTTGTAGCCGAGGTGTTTCTTGCTTAATCCTGTCTTGATGAGCCCTTCCTCAGCAGGAGAAGTTTTGTGGCCCCTTGAGTCCTCTTGGTCCGTCTCAGTTA